GACACAAGTAGGTCCTAGTATTTATAGTAGTAAAGCTCAGATAAATTCCACTGTTTGACACAAGTATTTCCTACATCTGAGCCTTACTACTATAAATACAAACAGTGGAATTTAAAACAAGTAGTTCCTATATCTGAGCTTTACTACTATAAATACAAACAGTGGAATTGACAAAAGTAGTTCCTATATCTGAGCTTTACTACTATAAATACAAACAGTGGAATTGACACAAGTAGGTCCTATATCTGAGCTTTACTACTATAAATACTAACAGCAATGTGTTTTTTTACAATCCATAGTCAAGTAGCTTATAATTGAATCTTTTTTATTTAAAAACATGGCAATTCAAATACTGGAAATGCTATACCAGAACAAAGAACTATATAGTAAATAAAATTTCACTCGCTTGTTCTTAACAATAATTTTACCTTTTTTTATCTTTTAGAAAGACTACACAAGTTTATTTTAGACAGGACTGCCAGCTATAATCGTGTACCACTTTGTATAAATCCTCACTCAGCAGCATTTAAAAGTTTTTCTAGGTAAGTGGTTTCTGTAAAGTTCCCAAAACTTTTCACATATGCTTTTCTAGAAATTATAGTTTTCATGATGGAGTTACAGTCAATTTATGTAGAGCTTATCATTCATTAAATAGATTACTCTATGATAAATATTAGAGAAGTTTCAGAAATATGTTTGTTTTTAACATAGGCTATGTTCCCTGTTACAGCATTAGTACCTTTGCAGCTATTAATTTTGGTAGAAAACCATGGTATGTCTACTTAGCCAACAGTAGCTATTTCAAATTATGTTTAGCCAGAAATTTAACTACCTTACACTGTAAGATAGCACAAAAATAGCACTTTTATATTGCATCAAGGAACTAGTTACTACCTATTCAGTCAAAAACTAGTTCCTTTATGTGTAATCAGTAAATTTGACACATTATATATATATATATATAAATTAATAGCTCAATGACTATCAATTATGATTATTGCTAATAGGTGATTTAGATCAGCACTATTAAACAATAAAGAATTTATTATCATTTAAAGCATATACTTTCACTTCCGGGCAGTCATGCATAGTCATAAACAGATAAAGCTTGTAGTAATAGCACCAAAAAAAGCATTGGAGATATCCAAACTATCAATCCAAATCCAAAATCCTTGAAAACAAGGGTGAAGAGGTGAGTGCTTAAGCCCACAATGCCTCACCATTTTCCATGATGGTCAACTTGTTTAACTTCAGCATTTTGGATTTGCCATAATAGATGGGATATTGCCAGTGCTTTTTTGGAGCTATTACCACAAGCTTTATCCATAGTCATAATGTATATGCTTTAAATGATAACATATATATATATATATACAGCTAACTTGTATTTGATCAGTAATTAGCTGCATAGTGTTTGATTAAAAACTAGACAATACTCTGTGTTTATTAGGGAAAGCAGTTTCCTTACAGTCAGTTTAGAAAATGTTGTTGTGTATTAATACTCAGTGTGCGAGTCAATGAGACCAAATTCTGGGGATTGGATGGGCAACATAGGGATATCATGGTTTCCAGTATTCAAGTTATAGCCTAAAAAATGTACTCTGATAAAGGGCTTAATCAGTTAACCTCAAAAACCTCACTTTACTGCCAAAAGAACTGACCTTGAGTAGTGTTCGGTCATGAAGTGTTCATGTTCAGGCAAGAATCAGATACTGTGGTTAGCCACCCTACAGTGGCAAGAAAGCTTTGTTGAACTTCCTCAGCTATATTTAGCAGTAGAACTCATGAAAGCCATGGTGAAAAACGGCTTGATAGAGCTGAGGAATTAGACCTTGTATTGTGCAACATATGTGGGATTATGAATGAGGTACAAGTTTTACTTCCTCACAGCCTGGATTCTAATGGAAATTTGGCCACACTGATGGGCAATTCAGATATTACAAGGAGTTGAAATCTCTATTTGGAATTAAAACAAGAGGAAATCCGAATCCTCAATAGCCGTGGTACTTGAAATTCTTTTAGGCAGGATTAGAGTAAATTAATCTACGAGATTTTTTCCCCCTTTTTTTATTAGCTATATTTTTTGTGTGCCAACAACACCAAGCATGAGGCTTGCGTATACCTGATTTGATTTTATTACTCATCAGTATCTCTACCAGCCTAGCCTCAAATTTCAATTCTTTTAGGCAGAATTAGGGTAAGTTAATCTATGAGACCTTGGGCATGGGCAAATACATCAATCTAAAGGGTTTGACCTCATGAGTCCAAAACCGTTATTAGATCTTAAATCAGTCAAAAGATGATGGAGCTATGAGCTAAAAGTTTGTATTTGAAAAAAAAAAAACTTCCACAGCTAAAAACAAGCAAACAGAAAGCTTTGTTAGGAATTAACTCACCAAACATGTCTCCCTGACTTGCAGACTAGGTGTTAAAAGATCAATATATATAGATAAATAATTAGAAAAATATTTTGATGTTAGTTGGTTTTTGACAGAATACAGATAGATATGTATATATGGTCATCCATGGCATAACCAAACTAATACAACAAATAAATGATAAAAACACAGCAAGGTAATCAAATGAAGAATTCATCAGTGAAGTTTATTTGATTGAGCATTTCTGATGGATATTACAGCTCCACGGTTGCTCACCCTTCTGAACTCCCACCATCTCCACATCAATGGGAATGAAATTAGGATTCTTCAATCAATAACTATTTGAACAAACTTTGAAGAAGACCCTTCCTTCCATGATGCATGGGTAAACATATGACTGTAGTCTAAGTTATTGTTTATATTTAAATGTAAAGTTTTTGAGCTTCCACCTCTTGGTGCCTTTGTTGTTTAGATATCACAACCAAAGACTGTCAGTTTGCAGCTCTAGCCACTTGTCTAGTACTGTGTTATTGAAATTCAGGACAGACTGTGAACTTGCAGCTTTAACTGCTTTTCCAGTATTGTTTTATTAATTCAAGAAAGACTGTCAGCTTGGAACTTTAGCCATCTGTCTAGTACCATGCTACTGAAATTCAGGACAGACTGTCAACTTGCAGCTTTAACCACCTTTGCAGTGTTGTGTTATTAATTCAAGAAAGAGTGTCAGCTTGCAACTTTAGCCATCTGTCTAGTACTAGTACTGTGTTATTCTTTATTGGTGATAAGAAGAGATCCTTTCTCAGTTCTAGCCTCCTCTTGTACTGTCCAACAAAGGATTGGGGAACCAACAGTGACAGAGAAGCAATTTAACCAAGATGAAAATTTAGGAAAAGAGTTGTTTTAAAATGAAACAATGAGAGTATCAACATAACCAGCAAGTGTTCAGAAATTTTAGTTTAGGCTGTAAGAAAGAGAAACAGCGGTTCCATTGACTTAGAAATCAAATAGGAATCTTTATACATGTTTTTAGGTGTAAAATGGTTATTATCCTGTTTAACTGTGAAAAAAAAAGTATATATAGGGAGCATGAAATGTAAAGGAAAAAGGTTTAATGGGATTTGCTTTATTGGTGTTAAAATATGACTGTAAGCTGACTAATGTAGGCTGAAAGTCAAAAAACAGAAGGGGGGATTGAAGTTGAACATTTATCTCAATTATAAAGTCCAAGTTAGTAAAGAGTTGAACACTTTTTTTAAACTTTTGATTATATTGTTTGTCACAGTTTTATACCATTTTTTCAAGATAATTTAAAACCTATAATAATATTTTAGTTGCTTAGCAGGTTTTAGAACATTTTACCGAGGGATATTTCGCTAAATATTAGCATTGAAGTTTTTTTAAGTGGAAAATATATAAATGGTTTTTGAAGTTTTATCAATTTCATTCATATTTCAAATGAGATTAGATATTGTAGTTGTTAGGAGTATATGAAAAAAAAAACGAATTTTTCTTCTTTGCTTATTCAATTGAATCACTGGTTTGTAAGTAACTAAGGTTAGATTAATTCCACATATATTTGCATATTACTTGCTTATGTGTTTTGGTAGTAGCATGTTCATACAGAATTGATAGCACATTGAAACATTTCTCACTGTCTCATCACAATCATCCTGTACAGGTATGAACTCATCATCACCATTAGTACATTTGTAAATAATCTTTTTTTCTAGAGTAAATTTGATAAGGCAATTGGTTGACTGGATTTTTATCCAGTTTGATGTGTGACAAATATGAAATGCTGTTGAAGCCTGTTATATACGTATGTGTCAGGGCTTTCAAGTAATCCACAGGTTTAAGAAACATTGTATTCACACAGTATTTGCTAAATATAAAATCCTTTCAAAATTGTACAGAAAATTCCAATGATAATTTCTGCCTTCATAATCATATTGGTATTGGATAACAATACTAAAATTTAAATTGTTGTCAGTACCATATGCTATTGTACAGTGAACACAAGTTATTGTTATACTGAATAACAATTGCATATTATCATATCTGTTAAGTACAGTAAAAGTGTTAAAATACACATAATCTCCAAAGAGCTAATCTGGTCATATACTCCACACATTAACAACTACGCAAAAAAATCTGTACTTACTGGGGGACTTAAGTCAGTTAGACCTTTTCTTGTGAATTAATTTAGAATACTGATTTTTTTCCAGTTGGAAAACACTAACTAACTAGACCACTTCCTGAGATTGAAAACTTTGTAAAATACTCTTTTGTAAAATACTATATCCTAGCTGTGGAATGCAACTAGGTCTTAGAATGAAGCCCGATAAACAGGAAACTTATTATCCAGTATCTGGTTCATTTAGATTATTCATTTTTGTCTGTGAAGAATTTATTACTTATATGTAGTGACAAGTTTGTGCTTTTTGTGCATTCCACAATACATGTTTTTTGATATCAAAGAACAAGATGTTAATATACCTCATTTTATATACATGTGTTTTCATAAAAAAAAAATTGCAGTGTCTTTAGAAGTGATTTGGCTTATCAAGTTAAGTGTTAGCAAGAATGTGGAAATACTATTCTATGGGACCAGAAGGTTTTACTCATTATATTTTCATCAGTGGATATGTAATGTGTATTTAGGGTCTTTGACTTAATTGTGTGTACAGGTTCAGTATTGTCAAAATAATGTGAACACTGCTTACAAGCTAATTTAGAGAAGATGCAGGAATTTGGATCTGTTTGTTCTTGCTATAGCCAGCAGAGAACAGAACCTGAGGTAATGTAGAACTTGTTTAGAAATTTGTAAGAGTGATGTATCATAATATAGTACATAGTGATTAGTCATAATATAGTTACATTGTGATTAGTCATAATGTAAGGGCAGTGTATTATAATGTAGTTTCACTGTGCAAAGCTACAATCTTTTTAAGAATATTGTTTCAAAGTAGTTTTAATGTGTGAGCTATATGCTTTGAGGAGAGTAGTAATATTTTGGTTAGGAAAATAAATTGACTTAATGATTTATCAGACTTAAAATATATAACTAAACTTTTTTTTAAACACCTCTTTTAAGTTTGCCATCAAATATTAACCTATTTTTTTTAAAGAAGATATGACAATCCAAAATTTAAGATTCATATTTGTACAACATTGTTATATTAGGTATGTGTAATTGTGCTCTTTAAAAATTTTTTTGTCATAGTACAACTGTAGAAGTTTAATGAGTAGTATTGTATCCCCACCTTAGAAAGTAAAAACTAGTGTATTGTGATACCTCAGTCAGCTAGTTACACAGAAGTGGGTGTAATTGATTTTGTACAATCACTGCCATATTTGCAGGTTAACTATTCATGATCTCATGTACTAAACTTCACTTTAGGGTTTCTTGGTATTTAATGAATGTGGTCCTGCCAGTACCAAAATGTTTTACCTCTTGTCCCACACTCACTAGTCATGATTTTGTTTTTAAGCAAATTAAGACATTTCATCTGTCCTCTAAATGCTCTTTGGTCTTGCCTACTTCTTCCAAAAGCTGTTAAGCCTTTTCACTACTCTACTAATTCCTGTTCTTATTATCATACCATTTACAGTTTCTGATAAATCTCTATCAGTCCTCAATAACTGTTTTATGTTCCCCATCAGTCCATCAAATTCTGTTCTTATTCTTACCCAATTAACAGTTTCTACTGAACATTATCTCTTTCTTTCGTTCTCAAACCACTTACTGGTTCTACTGAGTCTACCCCAACCCTTATTAATTTTTAAATCCTTCGTCCAGAATATCTTGATCCTTTTCTCAAACTATCTGATTTTCCCGAATCTACACAAACCCTTAATAATTCTTAGGCCTCTGATTCACAGTCCTGTTTTGCTACACTTTTAATTAATAGATGTTATATTCTTCAAACTCCACAAAGTCTTGCCCTTATTCTCAAGTGATTTAGAAGTTCTGTTGAACCAGAACTAACTCTTAATAGCTATTAAGTCCTCACTACTATACAAAGTTCCATTCTTATTTTTAAGCTACTTACAAATCCTGCTGAACCTATAGCAACCTTAAGTACCTGTGGAGTTTCTCTCCACAGATTTCTGCTGATCCTACAGTAACACTTTAACATAGATTTGTAAAACTTTAGTGTGGCTCTAGCAAAAATAACTACAGTGTTACAGTCATCTGTAAAACCTTTTGTAAGGTCTATAAATTCCACAGTATTTTATTGTTTATTAACATTATGTATGTGTGTGTGTGTGTGTTAATTATCATATCTATCAGTATATTTTGCTTGTCATATTGATGCAATGCTGTTGAGCCTCAGGTTTGTATTTAAAATTAATTAACCATACAACGAATAAACATAATTAGGTACAACTTACTATAATTGATTTAATCCAAACTAAGTGTAAGATATTTTACACAATCACCCAATAATACCTTTAAGAATTTATATCATTTTATAAAAACATATGAAATTATATTAATGTATAATCAGATTTAAACAGTCAACATAATGAAATAGTGAAAGATTAGAAAGCATAAAACAAAACTTAAAAACAAGGATCTGCATGTTTTAGCAACAGTAATACATGATGGAAAAAAAAAACAGTTGCTGCCAAAATGTTTAATATTATGGATGAGTGCGTGTGTGTGTGTTTTCTCATTTTACATAGATTGAGAAACATGTTTATGAGTATGATGAGTGGATAGAGTGACTGTAAAAAAATTTCTAGCTTTTTCATGTAAAAAAAAGCTAATATGGTAAAAATTAATAAGAGTGTCTTAATTGTAAAGCATGTTAGGCTTTGCAGTTTGAGTGACTTCATTAGCTGTGTAAAATGTAAGTTATGTTAGGAAAAAATGTATTGAAGCCAAGCAGTTGTTCACGACTTCTATAAAAGTATATAATGTCAAATAAGGGTTTCAGACAATATTAATATGCAGATTCCTTGTTGGAATAATATTCACTAAAATAGATTTCATATCACACTCCAGGAGGTTTCAAGATAAATTGTATTCTTTTAAAATCTCAAACTGACCAAAACTTCACAAATGTTTTTTATTTTCAGGCTCTTTTAACCCTTTGTATGTGATCTACTTACAATGTAAGTAGATATGCGACTTTTGTGAAAGTTCTTTATCAAAATGAAACTAGTTGATGAAATACTTTCAAATTTGTCTTGAATGGTCCTAAGATCATGTACTTTTAGAAAAATCAAATATTTAATTTTAATTTTTTCTACTATTTATAATAAACATTCATTATTTAATCTGAATAATTCACATAGAATGTGATTTTTATTTTGAGTAAAAAAAAACTATTTCTTATCTCACAGTTTCATATTTTATTTGCATAATCTTTAGAACCTCCTAAATGAATATTAAAAGCTTCTTAAGATAAATGTTTATATTTTGTTTTCAAATTTTCTCTATATCATTAACTCCAGATATCATCATCAACGAACAGTACAAAATGTTTAAAATTAAGAAATGAAAGTAAGTACATAGCTTTTAAATTTCTTAAGAATAGTTTAAATATTTCTTTTTGTCATACGCATAATTTCATATCTTTATTCTTTCACTTGTAGTTTACTTTTTAATTTTCCTTTCTAATTCTTTGTCTTTTATTCATTATCCCAAGATCCACAACGTGTCCCTTACAGCGCTCTGTTGTTTATTATAGGGCGAGCCTGAGCGAGTTTCATGCACAAATTCCAAACACTTATGCTCATGCATGCAAGTGATGCCATCTTGCTTAGACATTTTGGTAAGTAAGTTAAACATATAAAAATCACATACATTTCAAATATGCATTTTAAAACACAAACAAATACATAATTAATTAAGATATAAACGTAAAACCTAAATGCAATCCAACTGTTTAGCAAATTAATACATATAAGGCAAGAAACACTTGCCAAACATTACATACACCTCAAGAGAACAATAGACTAAGCTTATTTTCTATTTCATACTACAGATATATACACAGGTAGAGGTTTCTTCAGGCTATAACTGAATAGTGTAAAATCTGCTCTTTCTATTGGTTATAAACACGCCATTCAACTTCAAAGTGTTGCTTGACAACAGCTTTGACTTTGTAAGTGGGCATGGCTGACTTTAAACTTAGAAATATTAGAATGTTGTTTCACACCAGGAGAACTTCTTGGAAATACCCCACCCCCCACCCCCAAATAATGAGGGACAGTTGGAACTGTACTTTAACCATCTCCAACAGTCTATATTAGGAACATATAGTTTCTTGTGTAAGACTTTTTAAACTTGAGAATTTTAATTACAGTGGATCACATGACAGCAAAAACTGCAGTTTTAATTGATGTTTCAGAATTTTATTTTTAAATTAAAGGAATAAAACTTAGATAATATAAAACCTTATTATAACGTACTTGATAATAGTAATTTCATTAAAATATGTTTATAGAAAAGTGGTTTAATTCAATTTTGAATTTAACTCAGTAAAATCTCATAACGTGGATAACAAGAGGTTTAACGGTTCATTAAATTCGGAGGTTTCATTCCTTGCAAAATACATAAGGAGTAGCATATAAAGAATTTATTACAGTACATGGTTTACACTTAAGTTTTTTTACATTTATTGTGTTAAGACATATAGATATATCATATTAGTTTAATGGAAAATCAAATACAAGTAAAATATTTAAGCATGTCATTCTCATCTCAGTAATGTGCCAATACAATATTCATAGACATTAGTTAAATAAACATCAACAATACATCCATGACTGTCTTGTACCACTTTCTAAACAGATTACCCTTTTTTATGTCCCATCAGGAAAATTTTCAAATAGATGGGCCAAGAGTGGTTATTATTTGTAATAATGAACCTTCTTGTCTCCAAGACTTGGGTTTTTAGCATTGTTACTTCAATTGAATGTTATTGGTAGGTGAAAAATAGACTTTATCAAGGTGAATATTTTTGTTTCCAAAGCCACACAAAGTCTAATATAAACTTAAGCTGAAAAAGTCAATTTGTTAACTTTCTATCAAGATTTTAAATCATTATTGTATGTAAACCAGTGGTTAAAAAAAGGGTTTTGATCTCCAAGGTCAATATTTAGTGATAAAAAACTTTCAAAATCCTTTTTTGTTTTCTTAGAGTTAAAATTTAGTAGAGAAAATCCAGCTATCTTTATATTTTCCCTAAACAAATGTGTTTTTTTCCAATTGTTGAAACTTATCAAAAAAATTGCACTTTCATGCCTTTTAAGAAGCACAAATTATGTTGTTTATTTAGATCATTTAATGGGTTATGCAAAGTGTGTCTGTCAATGTGTTATTAAGTGAAATGGAGAGGCTGGGTAGATTATTAATGGTAGATTTGAAGCCCATAAGAACATTTTCTAAACATGCAATGTTTTTACCTAATGTTTTTCAATAAAATGATTCAACAACATTGATATTTTGTGTGTTTACTGTGATAGAGAGAGATAATCTACACAGCTATTTCTGATGTAATACTTTAAAGAATAGACTGACTTGATATGAAGATTATTGAGTAGAACATTTTAGCTGTTTTTCACAAAGTCTTTGCCTTTCTTGATGTTAATAGTTTGGGCATGGCTGTCTTCACCAGTTCTGTTTCGTAAGGTGATAGTTTCCCTATACCCAAGTTTTTCACAATTCCATTTGGCTACAGAGCAAAATGCACATATAAGTACAAGAGATATTTCAAAGAAGTTTTAAATAATGTAAGCATAAGCTTGAATGTTAATTAAAAGCCAAAACAAATCCAGCATTTATTTTTAGTGGGTTTTAAGCTATCAATACTTTTTGGACTACAATTTAACAGAGAAAATTCTAAATCTTATACAGCTAACAAATGTCACCATTTATTTATAGATACTGAGATGAAATGTATTGTATCAATACATCAAAAGTCTGTAACGAAAAACTGGTAACTTGTATAAAGTAAAAGTATAAGAAGCTAAGGGACAGTAATAGGAACACTCATTCAAATCTAAGTACTTATAAGTGAAACAATTCAGTTTACTTTGGACAAATAGTCAAATAAGTTTTGTTTACCTCCCCCCAAAAAGAACTGGAGAAGGAAAATAGGCAGCTTCTGTTTCAGAAGATTTTACAAAGGCACACTCCACTACTCTTTCCTTTCCTGTCACAGCTTCCAGGAGCTGCATTAATGAAGAGTAAGAAAACTAACTTAATTTCAAAGTTATGATAACAGTACTGAAAATTCTTCATAAATATAACTAAAAGAACTAAATGAGTGGAGTAAAATTTTAAAAAATTAAATTTGAAATGCTTAAATGACTATTATTTCTATAAAAAGGCATATGCAAAGTATTTTAAAAACCAATATTTTACACTACATTTACAACAATATTTTCGAATTCATAGGTGTATATACACTCAATAGTTTCATTTGCCTAATTTATGTTAGAATATTGTGGCAAGCTTTCTCAGTTTTTCCACATAAACTAGAAATCAATGAATCTGTTAATATACAACTGATCTAAGATGTATAAAAAGAACTTCATCATCAGAAGAAAATGTTCCCAAATTCATTTTGCAGAGAATATGGTGCAAAAAAAGAAAGTAATTCTATTGTCAATCATCTAGAAAACATATGATTTGAATCTCATAGTTTGGACTTGAAGGATGATGATAGATATGGGTCTAAACAACTGAAACTTCTATATAGGGCTAAGTTCTGAAATGGAGAGCTTTGGTAGGTTACTAATGGTAGGTTTGAAGATAATAACAACATTTCATTTTAACAACCATTGGGTATTTTACAATTGTTTGCTGTGATAAAGAATATTTGATCTACATAGTAGTCTTTGATTCAGCACATTTCTTGTATTTCCTTATAAGACATTACTAAAACCATTTAAAATCACTGTCATTTCCAATGTAAGTGTTTTCCAACAACTAAAAGTTTAAACCTAAACTTACTGAGTTGGTGAATCTTGCTCCAGCATAAGCCGATTGGCTGAACCCTGCACTGAAAAAGAAGAAACATTTTAGTATGTTCTAATAAAAAATAATGATAATCTCTTTGTTTAAAACATTAAATTCACAAATTAACATTTTATATAACTAAAACAGCCATAGTCATGTGACTACTAGTTTACAATTAACAAAATATTACACAGTAACTATTTTTCACACTCCTGCAGATGACTTGAAACCGCATTGAAACATGTTGAGTGACTTTTACAACCATTGATCGGTTTAAATGAAGATTTTAACTGTTTATTATAAAATGTTGTTCATTTGTAAATTTTATCCTTTTAATACTCTGTTTAATTTTAATTCACATTTCAAAGAATCATGACTGTATTTGTCTCCTTCAACACTATTTCTTTTTCAAGTAAGCTTCAAGTCAATAGTACTAACTACATTTACATACATGCTGAAATGTATGGTTCATGTTTTTAATCTTTTCAGAGTAAGCAGTGCCTAATATGACAGTTATGTAGACCTCTTATAAAAAATAAGTGAAATACTGCAACCCATATGTTATTTAAGGCTCATAGGGTTGAATAGGTCAAAAAGTCAACAGGCTTAAGTGATTCCAAGTACAAATTTTAACTATACAGTCCCTATAAGAACATAAACAAGTGGCTAGGGACTTGAAATATTTGTGGAGTAAATGGTGTTGGGTTTAGAACTGTACAAACTATTCTAATAACAATATCACAAATATTTCTTAATCATATATGCATTATATATATTTTTGGTGAAGACAGAAGTATTCCCGTTGTTTCATACTAGTGAGATATTTTTGTACAAAGTTGTCAAATGGAAATACCTTTCAGAAACAATAATATATCATACACAATCTTAGCAACAGATTCATTAGACAGGAATCAAAGTTTTTATTCAACACAGAATATGTGCTTTTATGTGCTTTTAATTTCAACAACCTTAGTTTCTAGCTTTTCTATTTCAACTGACTTTCATTCCTTGGTTCTTATTAGAGGTGTGCCATGCATGAACAATCTTTTTTTTAATTTTTGAAAGACTCATTACAGCAAATCATGGGAATAGAGACAAGAGTTTGAATTCTTTTTATTCACCTGATCAACAAACTGCATTAATAAAAAAGTAACCACTTTAAAACATACAAACTCATAGAATGATTCAGAAACTCTTAAATCTGCTAAGCCAATCAAGGAATTTACACACAAAAATCACATAATAGTAGTAGTAGCAATGATAAATATATACAAGTGATTTTTAAAACAAAATTTACCCCAAACTAAAAAAAATCTGTATTAGCATTAACAGTAGTTAGGAACATGAGGTGAAATTACATCTTCCATGTTGGATCCAGATTCTCTCTAATTTAATGCATGATGCAGACTCTGTGTGAGCCACTGTGGCATCAGGTTCATAATATCCACAAGTGAAATTGTATTCAAGTTCTGTTGTTGTTAGTTTTCTTTTCTTTATCTACAAAATGTAATCTTTTGTAAAATTATATTTGAGTTTTATGAAGCACAAGTATTGAGACAACCAACTTTAAATTGTCTATATAGTCATTTCCTGTTCATAACCAAGTGATTCAGTCTATATGTGTTGGTTTTGTTTTAATAATGAAACAACTGAACATTTTGAATCAATTCATAAATTGAAATGAATCAAACTGCCCATCACTACTACTACTATATTTCAACAGAATTTCATAATTTTATTGACTGCAAGAAATTTCATTCTTCTTATGGTAACATCTTATATATAAATGACTTTGTGTAATACTTACTACCCCATTTTTGGCTTTCACTACTTCAGCTCTAGCCTCATGATCCTTTTTGTGATGGTATCCAGTTTATCATCTTTGAAAGACATGGGTGGAATAGCTTGAGAGATCACAGGTATAATGGTCATACCAGAATGACCTCCAATGACTGGAATATTAACTTTGGCTGGATAAAGTCCCTACCATGAGGAAATAAAACACTTTCATTTTTTAGAACACCTCTGAAAATGAAATAATTTGTCTACTGTCAAAGATCAGAATAATATACACATACTTAATCAGTTAATTAATTTTTTAATACATTAGAAGAAAAGTAATGAGATGAAATCTAAAAAAAAATACATACACACACACACCTTGGCTTATGCAATACTATTTTTAGATGCCAAGTTTTTAAATTCCAAATGGACAAATTATAAGGAATGTGTGAAAAGGTAAACATTTGCAGCTCACATGACTTTTATCACAAATTTTAGGCCTACTAATTTGTCACTTAAATTTTCAAACATAATGAAAATTTATATTTATTTATCAAGTATATGATTTATTTACAGGGTTTGCAATAATACATATCATAGCCTGATCTGTCAGATCACAAACTATTACACATAGTGTTGAACAAGTTATCTCTAGTCATACCAGGTTTTCTGGGTACTCCAGCAGGAATCACAATAACTTCAGCTTTTTCTAGTAATTCCTATCAACAAAAGAAATAAGCATCCTTAAAATAATGGGCTGAGTACTGTAGAAACTAATGTTGCAATGAATTATTTATGCTTTTGTCAGTAACTTTATTGATATGAGTAATGCAAGTACATGGATAACACATCACAGACATTATGTAATAATTATGTAAGAAGTAAATAAATTATTAAACCAATTCAAAACACTAATTTCAAGATACAAATTTCAGATCATCACATTTCACAAATTGTTTGTATTACATGGTAACTATTTCTAGAAAATACTTCAGAAAAATCAAGACACACATAAAATATAGTGTGGTTGAGGAATCAAAATAAATATTACACATTTGATATTTATGTATTACAACAGATGAAGTTAAAGTTTTACTTTTAAAGTCTCCCTCCAATAAGCATTTGTTATATGCTGCACATCTTTTTTTTTTATAAATTAGTACCTCAAAGTGTTATAAATATTTTTTTATCTTATATTTAAACCTGGAAGTTTCTTACTTTACACTGAAGAAAGCTTATATTACTTATTACAACTTTGAAAATATAAGTCATCATCAGAATATCAATATAATAGGCATATCTTTCAAATTAGTTTCCTCTTGTTTTTCTAGTTTGAGAAAGAAAATTGTTACACTGTAAGTCATACCAATAATCATCATCAACCAAGTTTTTAGGGCTATCTGAAGGTTATAAAATTAAAAACTGTAAGGACTATTTATATATTCAAAAACATTTCCACAGGGAATTTTGTGTTTTGTAAAACTTATAACACTAATGTATTGCTTTCTATTAATTTTTTTTTTTACTGACAAAAAGTGACATATAATTGTTGGAAACATTTAGTTGTGAGGACTCTTTATCTTTCCCCTCAGGTTCTTCTCTACCCTGATAGGTTCTTTCTTTCAATTCCCAGATAGCTCTTTGTGCTTAATAACAACTTTAAATTCTGCACTAACAACCCATTTTACTATACTTACTACTGGTTGCAACAGGCTCTGTAGAAATTAGGTGTTCCATATGACCATGTAGGCACTTACCAGATGGTACTACTATGTTATCATAGACCGCTACTCATGAACTTTCATGAGTACAGCTAAAGGAGATTCTGCCTGTCCCTACTGATCATCAGATCAGATAAATTGGGGTCAGTTTGTTTTTAAAAATATAGGGAATTTGGTTCACCTATTGCACTATTTCCAGAGCACTGTTCCTCAGAACTCCCCAATGTGCATTACCTCCAGATTCTTTTAGTGGAGCTGGGGAGTCTTTACCACACTCTGTTTCTAGAAAAGGGCAAAGTTGGGGGCCCTCCTACCCAGGTTCCAGAATGTATTTCCCAGATGTTGGTAGGAGCAGGAGCCTACTCATAATACTGGTTCAGATTTCATCCTACGCTATCTGGTTGGGGTGTGCATTGCCCTTCTTATGAACAATGTTGGGTCATATATTATCATTCCGAGCCTGGTATGTTGCCTTTCGGACTTCTTCAGGTGGAAGAGAAAAATTGTCCACTTCAATGTTACTTTCTTTCTTTTTGTAATTCCAGTGGTTTGGAACGCATCACCCTATGGCTACAGGTTGTGATCCAATCAAAAGTATATCTGTATATAAAATTGCAGTCCAATTGAGGTAACATGCTAGTATCACTTCTCTGAATCTTTTCAAACAATTCAATGTCCTTTTTGAGGAAGGTAACCCAATACTGTACACAGTACTCTAAATGAGTAAGGCCTTACAAGTGATCAAAACAGTGAAAATATAATATCCCTTGTCTTGTATTCAATATTTCTTTATATGCTACTCAAAACCCTATTAGCCCTATTGCTAGCTACAATACACTGGTTAAATTACTTAAGTGATTTTTCGATCACAACACCAAGATCTTTTCTTCAACCACAATATTTAATGGATTCCCATTTAAATTTTAAAAAGAATTTGAATTGTGAAAATCTACCTGTATCACCTTATATTATGGATAGTTAAATATCATCTGCTACATATTGGCCTAATGCATCAAATGGTCTAAATCTCCCTGTAAGTCTGCAGCACCTTTGATACAGTTAGCCACCTCAAAAATCTTAACATCATCTGCAAACTTAAGTATTTTGTTAGTCATTCCAGAGTCAATATCATTAATATATATATCACAAACAGCAGAGGACCCAGCACAGAGCCCTTAGGCACATCACTTGTAACTGTGATCCAGTCAGATCTAACTCCATTTATTACTACTCTCCCACCAATTTTCCATCCAATTTAATAACATTTCCCCCACACCCACAGATTTCATTTGTGCAACAAATCTTTTGTGAGGCATCTTATCAAATGCTTTCTGAAAATTAAGGTAAACCAAATCCACAGTATTTTCTTCATCAACTTTTGCAGTAACATCCTCAAAGAATGTCACAAGATTTGTTAAACTAGATTTTCCCTTAGTGAAACCATGTTGGCTCTTTGACAATTTCTCAATTTTTAGGTTTCCCAACTTTTCCCTCACAATTTCAGAACTTAAAATGATATCTTTTACATCAATATTTTTCCCTGGTTGAGTTATAATACTTGTATCTTCCTTTGTAAAAAGCTGAAAATAACATATAATTTAATAAGTTTACCATCTCACATTCTTCTGAGATCAGCTCCCCACTATCATTTTTAAGAGGCCCATTATATTATACTGTTGCGTCATCGAGGTCACGTGACTAGTGTGGCGCCACCTATTTTCTAGAACTATCCTGTACCTTGGCGAATG